TGCCGGTAGTAACCACCCCCGTAGTATGGGTAAAGGTGTGATCACTGGGGAGTTGATCCGTATCCGTCGGTCTTCGACCCTTGACCACCACTACGAAGCTGCTGCCGAGCAGGCGAAGCAGACTTTCCGGGCCCGTGTATACAAGAGCTCCATCTTTCATCTTTCAGACCGTACACCAGGCATGCAAGGCCGGTACAGCTGGGGTGGCTGGGGCGGCCTCAGCCGCCCCACTTTTTTGGCCGTTTTTTTTTGTTCTTGTTTTTTAGCACACTGCAACAAAGCGCGATGATCGCAGCTCAGCTCAAACGTGGCAAATAATGAAGAATCCTTGTGTATCAAGGTCAAGGTCAAGGTGTGTGTGTGTGTGTGTGTGTGTGTGTGTGTGTGTGTGCCTGTGTGTGTGTGTGTGCCTGTGTGTGTACGTGCCTGTGTGTGTACGTGCCTGTGACGTGTACAGCCGGTGTGTGCACACCGCTAGCTAAACCGACCAACGGCTACTCCCAGGGCACAAACTATTCTGCTGGAGGCAGCGTCGTCTTCGGCTGAAATTCCGGATACAACCTGCAGGGAAGCATTGTGCGCATCTGCCAGATTGACGGTTCCTGGAGTGGGGAAGCTGCCTCATGTAATCGTAAGTTGAATTTCAAGAGAGCCGATATATCCCTCTTGTGTAGAGAAGCTTCAGGCTTGTAGGAAGGCAGATTCTGGTGGCGTTGATCTTTCCTATTTACAGAGCATGTAATAGTCTGGGTGTTACCTGCCACTTTTCATCATCACAAATGATGATCGTGCTTATCACAGGACCCAGGACCAGTCGGGCATCTCAGCCTGAGTCCTTAGGATATATGTTATACTTGTAGGTGTATGGTTAGGGTGTTTCACCGGGTAGAGGCGACGGTTTCAAATAGGACACAGGTTGCAAACCGGAACGGACTCAATATTCACTTTCTCTCTTGGTATTTTGATTAGAAAACATATGTCACAGTGAGACTACGATGTGTTATACTCCGAGCCAAAATTTCATGGCTCTGCGATGACCAGACGCGCCATACCAAGCAGGTGAGTTTTTGACGTGTTGCTTCACACTGCGACTTGAGTTTTACGACTTTCGAAAAATCTACTTCTTGTCGCAGGTAAACAGCGGCTCGCCTCTTTCCAATAAAGCACCGCATACCAATAAAAACTAATGGAAGCACACACAAGGCTTATTGTTACTCTGTACTGGCTGTCGTGGAGCGATAGCAATTAGCTAATTTCAGACCCAAAGTGAATTTGACGTGCACTCTAAAACGTGTCCGGTTTGGAGCCACCTCTGATTTGAACTTTTTTGAAGCGAAAAATTGGGCAACTTGGAGGCAATGGGTCAACACAAAGGAGTGGCTCAGTTCGATTGACTCTGGCCCCAGAGCAAACTTCAACATGCCAGTTTCCTTCCACAAACATATTTCGAGTGAAAAATCAACGCTGATGATCGGTTTGGGTCTATACAAATTTGGCTGTCAAGGCGTTCCGGTATCGAACCGTCTACTCTACCAGAACACTGAGTTGTTGGCATAAGCCGGTAACTTTTGTCGAGCCTGTTTTAGGCTACCTTCTCCTCCAAATATGCTAATATCTCTTGACTGTACAAAAGATGTGCCGAGCAGACACTTTCTTCATCTCTTGACTGCTTTGTGTGTTGTGTGTATGGGTACGTGTATCCAGCCATTCAACTGCAGTGCCAGTCTGGCTACCTGCCCTGCCTGCGTTCCAGCCTGTGGCTGTATCCTGCCATCACAGCGCTGCGACGGTGTTTGGTACGACTGTGCTGATGGCTCTGATGCACAGTACTGCCCAGGCAAGGTCACACCAGCTCCAGGTAAGCACCAGCAGCAGCACTGATAGTAGTACCATGACTTCTATTATTATTACAGGGTGCGACAGAGCTCTCGGCCATTGAAGAAAATGTTGAGTCACCTCCACCACCACACTGCGCTCTTTAGCCGACTAGACCCTCCTGCACACAACCATCATCATTGTGAGGACACTTCCGTAGACGATATTGATAAACTCCTTCAGACAGCTGTTTCGCTAATACATAGCTCATCAGTGAAGGTAGATATTGAATGATTAAAAATATAGACCAAACTGCTATTATATAGGGGGTTTCCACATACAAAACTGGCATAGCTGAGGTGATAACGCGGGAAAAGGAAAGTGTGAAGTACTGTTGACGCGCATTGGACATGCATGCAGCGTCGGATATTCGGCGCGGAAAATCAATCACTATTCAATGCAGAAATAACGTGCCAGAATCAGAGTACTATGTAGCTAGTAGTGAGAGTCTGTGTACTAGTATTGCAGTTGTCCGAGCGCCATGAAGGCCTGCGAACGCACCTCAAGACCCGCCGACGTCGACAGCCACAGCAGCCCCTGGGGCATGACACTGTACTGCTCGCCCGTCGCGCCAAGACGCTTGGCAGTCACTAGGCTTCATGCCACCGATGTTGTCCGCAAGCTACCTTGTTATCTGCCCATCACCCACTGCCGTTGACACGCTGGGAGGCCCCGCGGCATTCGCCCAGTATATCGTCGTCAGAGCTGTGTCGACGGTACAATAACGCTGGTAGAAACAAACAGTTGGTCGTATGATATTGCGTCCTCCGGATTGTCCCTTGACTCGTCTTGTCCCTCTTCTTGCTCTGACGCTAATGACTTCTATTACAAGCAAAATGTAGAGCTACTGTTGACCGCTATTCACTGCTGTATTTATTTTATTACTTTGCATGGCCATGTTGAGGCAGTCTTCGCATCAATTTCCTTTACACAATGCGTGTACTACAATGTATTCAAAACCAATGTCTGTGCCACGCACACATACGCAAACGTTTTAGGGATGAAACGAGTATATCGAATACTCGAGCGCTTGCTCGAAAATTCGAAAGGAGTGAGGACTCGTTTCGCAAAATACTCAAGTATCTTATGCACAGTGTACTGTATGCTTGTACATCAAGCACGTCTGTTACTCTGACCAGTACTGATAACCCATGCAAGTGTGAAATTATTACTTGTCCCTACTTACCAACAAAAGACGTAGTTCAGACTATTTCCTGCACTAGGCTGCATGCAAGACTACATGTGTATCAGGTGTAATACGTTCAGTGTTACGAGAGTGTGTGCAGTACATTGTTTTATGTTGTCAGTAAAATACTCGTACTCGCTCGAATACTCGCTCGTTTTTTCAAAGAGTGCTCGAGTCCTCAATTTTGGCACTCGTTTCACCCCTAGGCCAAACATGCATGCACTGAATGCCTGTGCTCTGTGCACTCTGTGCTTGTGCAGGTCAAGCGACTGCCAGGTCCTGTCACCACCGGCACTGGGCTCAATGACCGTGAACGGCTTGATGTTCAGCAACACGACCACGTTTGTGTGCAGTCTCCCTATGTCCTTATGGGCTCGGCCGTGTGTACTTGTGAAATCAACGGCCAGTGGAGCGGTGTGCAGCCAACTTGCGTCCGTAAGTACATGTACCAATGCTCGACTGGCTTGTATTATGCATTCCCGTTCATCACACCGCTCATACTGTCAAATGCTGCCTCTTTTCATTCACAATGGCATGGGTCACAGTAGATAGGCCTGGTGCAGGTATTGCCAGTTCCTTGCTTGCTGCAGTACAGTATGACATATTAACTTAGCTGGTAAGCAGTGCATGTGTGCATGGCAAGTGTTAATTTTGTCCATTGCTTCCCAACCCATGTGTAGTGACGACTGCTGCTCTGAGTGCGGCCAGTGACGAGCTAGTCAAGGACTCCGTCTCAGAACGCATGACACAAACGTGTAAGCCTAGTATTGCTGCATAATTAAGAGCAATTTCTCCTACTGCTGACTGCTGAAAATGTTGTGTCCTTCACAACTAGTCTCTTTGTTCTAAGAAGTCTGCCTCTTTCATCGATTCGTGTTTACCTAGCTGCGTTACGCTATTAGTAGCCTATTACCTGTTGTGCAATGGGGATGGCCTAAAAGCTGCTCGCTCAACAGTTGTGTTGCATGGCATAGAGGGAGATACGGCAAGCCACCTCGGCATATTTGCGGATAGAGCTTTTATTAGAAAGGAAAAGGACATATGGATACGTAACTGTCCACCACTGTAACTAGCTACTACAGTAAAAAAATGCAACAACTAGGCACAAAACTGACAGAGTGCTGAGACATTCGACGACCTGACTCCTAGCTTCAACACATCTCCGTAGCGCTAACCAACAGCCTTCCAACTTGGAAGGTTCAAGGTTAAAAGGAGAGACCAAAGAGGGGAAGGTAAGCGCAACGAAAATGAGCACAAGCTAGTAGTTGAAGCTACAGTCCCACAAGAACAAGAAATGTTGATTGTTACTGGACGATGACGAAACCAGTATTACCTTTCCCTCTTTGGTCTCTCCTTAACACTACGGAGATGTGTTGAAGCCAGGAGTCGGGTCGTCAAATGTTTTAGTGCCTGGTTGTTGCACTTTCTGACTGTATTTAGTATATAGTGACAGTTACTCTACACTCATATCCATACGTCCTTTTCCTTTCTACATTAATTTTATTATTGCCATATTGGCTCAACATCCGAGTTTCAAAGAGCTTTTAGTGGACGACTTAATCCATTTTCGGCAATACTTACAACGATCCAATCAGTCATATTGTAGATCAGGCTATGCTGTGGGTAAGTATACTACTGGCCTTGTATGGCTTATTGTTTGCCAGCGAGTATTTAGCATCATCTACTAGTATTCACTCGTTTGACAGCCAAAGAGTATTTGTGTGGGAGGCTGGGAGTCTCGCACCTGACTTGGTCACGTTGCGCCTGAAGGTCACTAAGACGCGGCCATATACGGTGGAGCCGTCGCAGTTCCATCTACTGTCGACCAAACATGCCCGGTATTGGCTATTCCGGTACATGACAGCCCATGCCTGTAGCACCAAGCCTGTGTTCACTTTTGCCAAAGGGATCCACCTTACTCGGCCTTATTTAAATAAGATACTCTGTCACGCTCTCAACTGTTATCAGGTTAGCTCCTGCTCCATGCCCATTGTTGGAGCGACAGTCCTGGAATCCAGAGTTGCAAGTGAGGTGGTGATACGGCAAGCAGACGGTGGCAAAGTACGGCTTAAAAGCTCTACATCTGGCAAGTGGCCGGCATACCACCCCAATGGACATCGGAACAGTACACGTAGAGTAGCATCTCTACGTGACAGGGTATGAGCGCAAGTGAGTTCTTATGCTCTACTAATGTGCATTGATACTGTGACTATAGTTGCAGGGAATTTTCTAGAACCGCCCCAACCGGTTTTCGACCGGTTGAAATAGTTGGCGACCGGTTGAAAAGTTACAAATCAGTTCCAACCGCCCGTACTTTTCTGTGGGTGAATGGAGCTGTGAATGGTCATACGCTTTTTTCTGGATGGATACTTCCAGCGAAGCCGCGTGGGCTGGTACTAGGGTCACGAGTTTGTACGGTTTGTACGGTCGAACCACGTCATCGAGCTGTAGCGACGGCGTTGCTACAGTCCAACAGCTCCGCGCGACACTCCAGCACCAAGAAATCTGTTAAATTGCTGTCGAGTGCCATATTTGGGTTGTATTTTGAAAACTATTTCCGGAGGGGGACCCCCCGACTCTTCATTGTACCGTAACCGGTTGGAAATTCGTCCTAGAATATACCCTGAGTTGGTGTACAGATCTCATCACATGAGCCTTAGGCGGGATTTCCTATTGTCACTGGAAAATTCAGCCCTAACAAACAGTGTGATGGATGAATTTGACTCCAGGTATCTGCTTTTGGGAATGCCATGTATGCATGTCTGGCGTGCTGCTGCTATAATGTTGTGGCAGCAGCATTTTGGTGCGATGGACTGTTCTTGTAACGGTGTACCTACCCATTTGCTGTTGCTGGATGCCGTGTTTTGTCAGTTGTGCCTGTTTGAAGGTGCCAGGCCAGCTTGTGTTGGTGCGTTCCCGTTAAGTTGCCAGGCCAGGTATCTGCTTTTGGGAATGCCATGTATGCATGTCTGGCGTGCTGCTGCTATAATGTTGTGGCAGCAGCATTTTGGTGCGATGGACTGTTCTTGTAACGGTGTACCTACCCATTTGCTGTTGCTGGATGCCGTGTTTTGTCAGTTGTGCCTGTTTGAAGGTGCCAGGCCAGCTTGTGTTGGTGCGTTCCCGTTAAGTTGCCAGGGCACCATATTTGTAACGGCGTTCCCGTTTTGCTGTTGTGGGGCTGTGTTTGTATCGGTGTGTTCCCGTTGAAGTTGACGGGGCACCACGTTAGTGGATTGTGTCTGTTTGAAGTTGCCAGGCCAATCCTGTAACGCACACCCGTTTGCTGATAATTGGGGACATGTTTGTCCATTTTGCTCGAGATTCACATGGCTGCGCCAGTTGCCTTGTGCGGATTAGACTGTTATCTGGCACTAGTCTTGATCTGTTTTATTCAGATTCAGATCAGCTATTGTTCCTATACGAGAAAATCTGTGGGTGCACATCCAATTCATTTGCAGATTTGGGTGCTTCTCCTGCAACGGGCGTTTACATGGTACATGGTGTGTGGGCGTATGTGTGGTGTGTTCATGCTGTACAGGCCAGTATTGCCAAGCACTGGGGACCTTTGGCAATCTGAAGAATGTTTTGTCCGAGAATCGATCCTTGGATCTGTGGCGTTGCAGTTGTGGTGCTCCCGACCCTCTTGCGCGATGGCCGCGGAGACCTAGCGAAAAGGTTCGAGACATACGGCATCTCAATATCTTCCACCACAATCAGTACATCAGCACCACCATCGAGTGTAGCGACATCAGCAATAGAAGACGCACATGATATCATCCACCCTTACGGCCTTAGCGAAGACCCGGGAATACCTGAGAAGATGTTAGCCGCAACTTTACTGGAGAAGTCGTCGGTGACAACAGCACTCCATATTTTAGCTGCATGCAGTTAGGTCTCTCAACAAGTGTACCCAAAGTTTTCAAGCTAATACACAAGCAAATTCACTAGGGGCCGAGTATATTTTCCTACACCTCTCCCTGTTTGTTGTTGTTATTTCTGCATTCAAATTGTTTGTGTACCTGTACATTTATTACAGTAGAGCCACGCATCCACAGCTGTTGTTTCCAAGGGGTCAGGCTCGTCAGTTATACAAAACCTTTCAGCAATCTGGCCTTAGGCTTAGTTCCTTGACTTCTTGTACCACTTTCTTAGATGCACATCCCACTGGATAGTGAGCAATACGTGTGTAGCAGAATCTGTATTCCAGAAAAGCAGAGACTCGAGTCTATTGACACTGCGTTTCTTTTTAAAACGTTATTGGCTGTGGTGTACCTAGAGGTATACACGTACATTCCTGGGTCCCACGTTCTGTGACGCCCGACTGTATTCGTGGTGCCTCAACAACTTTTAATTTTGTGCGCTCGGGAAAACCTGCCGGAGGCTGTGAGGCTGCAGAGTGTTGGCTGTGTTTTGCTTTAAAAAACCATTAGGTCTCCCCAGATTTTCTAGTCTGGCCCTGAATTTTGCCACTCTTCGGTTTCAAAACCTAGTGTGGTGGTGGAAAGCCTAGCAGTGTTGTGTGTGCATGTGTGTATTTTGTACAGTGCTGGCCAGAGAAATCCAACCTCGTTAATAAAGTAGCGCCGCGTTCGAGAGCACAGACCGGTCCAGTATGTTTACTACTAGGGCTGCATAGCGCCCGGTGCAATTTTATTCATAAGGTTGGATTTCTTTGGCCAGCACTGTAGTTAGAAGTAGGTCCTCTATGGTCCTCTGTTTGTGCGCAATTGTGGTCACAGTGGCAGTAGTGGGTGAGGGGTAGACTCAGTTACTACGAAGATGGTGTATACATGATGGTGTATACAGTCATGTAGTTGAATGTTACTTCGGGCTTAGACCCAGAGGTTCTTGAAATGATGACCCCGGGTTTATGTACATGTATCATTCAGCTACCGTTGTCATAATGGCACTAGTTGATAGAACACCTGTATAAGTACAGGCTGTACATCTAGCATTTTCCAAAATAGCACTCCGTACTTCGAGGCTGCAGCCGTTTTGCATGCAACGTTGTATGTGTTGATCGGTTGACAGCATGTGACAAAGCCGAGGACATACTAGTGTATCAGGAGCACTGTTTTTTAACACAGTGCGTCCCCCGCCTTGTCATGTTAATTTATCAAACAAGGCTTACCTATACCAACATTATACATGTAGGGCTGTGCATGCTTTCAAAATTCTTCCTTGTTGAAGTAGAATACCGTGCTTGTGGGGGCTTTAGTAGTTCCTTTGCCAGATGTTCTATGCGTATCTCAATGACTTATCAGTTTCAGCACTTGGGCAAGGCACATTCGGGCCTACACATGTAGCCTTGAATTCTGGCTTGGAGGCATTATTTATCTATTTTCATGGCTGCTAGGTTCATCCTTAGTTAAGAGTTATTTCTCCGTTATTCGCTAATGAGTCCACAAAGGACGAAACAGCTAGACAGTACTAGTGCTGTCCCCAGATCGTGTATTCTAAATCCATAATACTGACGCTCAATCTCCAGACAGCTGTTTCAGCCTTTTTTAGGTCCCATCAGTGGAGCTCAGAGCGGGAGGTTAAACAAATGGCAATACGGTCTATATGAAATGAACAAAAAAAGCAATTTGAAAATGGCTCAAAGCATCAAAGTCAGCGAGCTATCTGCAAGACACGCACAAAGAGAGCTTTGCACGAAGGCAGATACATATTACATATACCTTTGACACTAACCAAAAAGAGTGCTCAATCAAGTCAACGCAAGGCAGCGTAATGCGGTGATCGAGTCTATAAAAAGCTATAGTGACATATAGCCAGGCCCCCAGCACAATAAGCTGACTTGCATCATGCTAAAATCGTTCACACAAATCTCTTATAACAATTATTATATAGATTGCAGGATAGGGTGGTTGCACCAGGAAGTGCTGTCTCTGCGATAGTGGGACCAGCCAAGATTGCAGTACAGTCGTCCACCATCAATCCAGCACTTCATTGGCCCACGCCCTCGATACACCAGCATGATTTCCGGAGTTATTACCATTCATTAGAGAGGTTAAGATGCACGTTATTTCTGACGTGACGCGAAAGTTCATCTCGCGTTATTTGGCTCGCACGTCGAAAAATCAACGCGAGTGACCTGCTGCTCGCGTCGAAATTTGGAGTTTTACGCCAAATTTGACGTGAAATTGCGCGTCACGTCGGAAATAACGTGCATCTTAACCTCTCTATTGATACATGCCCCCCACCCCCCAGTTCTTCGGCACCTGACCCGAGTTCTATTTGGGCCGCACTACTTTGTAGCAGTCATACTATAGTACTAGAACTGGATGCACGTGATATCCACTGGAGCTGGCGCTGGCCATGAGCTGACCCACCGCCGTGCCTCCCAGTGTCAATTTTGCTTACGTGATCCTACCACAATCTGGAACATTATCAGTACTCGCCTCTGTTGACTTGCCAGCACTAGTTCTGGTGGATCCGGGCATGTTTCTGCCTTCTCTTAAGCATGTATTCTCCTGCAGGTGCATCTTTCACCTCCTTCTAATGCGCGAGCACATTTTCTGTGGAGATTCAACGACACATAGACCAGAAAATACAGAACGGAACAGTGGCTGCCAATGCGACACAAGTACCACATAGACCTAAAAACTCATAAGTACCCTGGGAGTTAGATGCATTTACGGGCAGTATGCCAGGATTTGCGCAGCTAATTTAAAATCAGATTAGCAATGCTGTGTGCTACCTAGGCGGCATCTTGGACTCAAAAACCAACCGATTGTGGTCCAACCCAACCGACAGCGTTGTCGGTGGGTTCCGATTGGCAGGTGTTGGGTGGACGTATGATCCATGCGTCCCCACAAGCAATGAGAAGTTAACAATGCCACTAAGGATATACTATCGCGGACAGCAGTACAATGAAACTGGGCCATTCATTATCAGCAATATCAGGGGTATATCCCATCCGATAAGACGTACTGCTCGTGTATGGCGGACTTTACAGCAGGTCCCGACATAGCTTGCCCCGTGCCCTTTACCACTCCTGGGCCAAAACTGTTGTACAATATTCGAGAGGGTCTAGCCTAGTGAGTGTGAACAGAACCTGGCAAACCATATCTCCAAGTGATTCACATGTTGGTATATTCTCCGTTATCATACATCAATTCCGAGCAATTTGACACCCGAATATTCTCGCACCACTACTGCTGAAGTATTGACCACAAACCATGTTCCATTTGACTTACAAACGGAACTTGCAAAAGGCATGAGAGCACTGGAATCTGTAAAGACTCTCGCATTATTTATTAGCCACCATACATACCTTTCGGGAAGTCGTGTTGGATGCAGAATGCTCGGAGAGCAGAGCTGAGTGAGATCTGCATACAGTAACACAGCGACAATGAATCACATGAACAGAAGGTATCCGTACACATCTGAATATGCGCTTATGGGAGGAAAATCCGTGCGACAAAAGAGGATCGTGCTATGCAGGTGTATGTCTTACCCGGGTACGTACTAAGTGAGTTCCACCGTACGTATATAATTGTATTGCAATTGAATTACTTTACTGACTGGAGCCAAAAATATCAATTGGCACTTACTCCGGTTACCCGAATGTTTCGGTACCACTATCATTAGGTTTGTTGCAATCGAACCAAGTAATAGTTGAGTCATTTTCAATGCGTTAGGTGTTACCTGACGTGCCCACTGCATCAGCCGCTATGTCATATTCCACCAGGCATGCACCAAACCAGGCGCAATGCGCACACTGATGATGGTGGTTGTCACACAACGAGCAGTAGTAAAAGTGAAAGCACATTTTGCATGTGATTTTGTTGTAATTTGTGCCTGTCGAATTGTCTCAGTGTAACTAGTTTATCGTTAGCTTACTAGTTTGTTTATACAAAAGAGAAAGACCAAGGAACTACAAGTTACGCTATACTGTCCACTAACACCACCAGTTACTAAACAATCAGCTCATGCGATAGCATTGCACGACACTGAACAGCTCTAGCACATCTTGGATGCGCACTCCAACAGCCTTGTGGACGACGACCGTCACTGGAGAATCGGTCCGTCGCTCCACCAGCCCGGCGGCACAGGGGACAGTGCCTTGGGGGTGTCAGGCATGGATCGCCAATGTAATGTTGTTCTCTTGCTGTGTTCCAAACAACAACTAGCTCGGAGCTCCGGAAAGCTCCGCAATAGTGAGGTTTTGCATTCCGAATTTCGGCTCGGGGTTCTTTGGTCATTTGTCGAACATCAAAATGTCGAATTTTCGCACCGACGTTTGTTTTGCAAGTCGAAAATGATGTGTTTTGATTTCGTGAGCCCCAGCATCAGCAATGTCCTGTCCCGTGCTCCTTTTCTTGCTGATTCCGACAAACTTTGATCGCGCCCAAAGAGTCGAGGGCCAAACCTGCCTCCTCAGTCGCCTCAGAAAAACAAAAAGGTACACCACACCAGGAAGCAAGTCAAATAAAGATGTGTGAACAACAGCCACACACCACAGAAAAGCATACAGAACAAAAACTCAATTACCGACACCATAGACACTGCAAAATCCAAACAGGAGGAAAATACTAACTCCCTGAGGACACTGAGCATGAGGCAAACGAGCAAGCAACCTCTTGCCGATGTTCCACCGTGTAACAACAACCGCGCTGGCCACCGGACTGTATGGTAGAGGTATTACACCTGGACCTCAAGACCAACGGGCGAAGGACAGCAGGCCGGGCCCAGGTAAATACAATGAGGAGCACTGTATACAACTACAGAAATAACCCAAACCCATGCCAATTTGACCAACATACCTTCCCTGCGCATCCATTCCTAGTGTACGGGTCTGAAAGATGAAAGATGGAGCGCTTGTATACACGGGCCCGGAAAGCCTGCTTCGGCCGCTCGGCAGCAGCTTCGTAGTGGTGGTCAAGGGTCGAAGACCGACGGATACGGATCAACTCCCCAGTGAACACACCTTTGCCCATACTACAGGGGTGGTTACTACCGACAAGCAGATACAGGAAACGATTGGTGACCTTGAAATGAGGCTTCACCGCCATGTATCCCTTACTACGGAAAACTGTGGTGTCCAGGAAATCAATGCCATCATGTGTCAGTTCATGAGAAAACTTGAGGGCCGAACACTTATTATTCCTATCTAAAGTGCGCTGAACTTGACCTTCGCAACCATGCAATGATAAAGCGTCTATAAACCTGAACCTCTAAACCCTCCCCGTCTAAGATCGGCAAAACGTACCGCTTCTCCAAATACAGCATAACAATGTCGGCATAGACCACTGCTGCAGGCGAACCCATGGCAGTCCCTTGGATCTGCCGAAACACATCGTTACCATACACGAACTCATTTTTCTTCCGAATGACTGACATCAAGGAAGTCACTGCTGTTAATAACCATGTACGAAGGGCGAGGGGCATCCACCTTGTACACCTGTGTGTGATATACCACGACAACCGAGCTCGTTGGGGATGTTGGTGTAGTAAAGGCTGGTCACATCTATAATAAATAAATTTCACGGTTCGCGTGAGACTCGGCTGGAAGCCGAGTTTTCCGCATCCGCCGTGGGAACGCCACCACCCTCTAGGATCAAAGGCGCAGATGCAGCGCCTGAACGGTGGGAGGTGAGTAGATCAGACCCACCACCAAGTGGTCAAAGACCGAAATCCCATTAGCTGCATCCATGTTACCCTCGTGCCAGGCCACGAGTTCCCAATTGACTGTGGGTCGCAGCACGGCTGGAAAAAATCCTTCCGCTTCCAAGCAGGACTTGAACCTGGTACCCTCTGTTTCTCAATCATGGTCTTAGACCATCCCACTATGCCTGCCTGTCACATCTATACTCAATTATAAATGATCGTCCCGCACAGGCAAACCTTCTACCAAGTTGATGAAATCCGCAGTTGAGGTCAGAACAGTACTTTCCTCACATACATACGGGTTCAGTAGAAAGTCAGTGAACTCAGCGGGATAGTAGCCAGGACTATTTAGATTAACAATAGGCCTAACCTTCAGGACCCAGGGCTTATGTGTTTTGAGAAGTCTCCTGAAAACGGGCATGCGCCCCCGGTGCGACTAAGAACAGTGACATATATTTGTGGGCATACGATGCTCAATGCGATGCCTAGTCATGGCGAGTAAACAATTGACTCGGGTCGCTCACAGGAAGTCTCAACACAGCCTTGAGCCTGTCGGTTGCCATCGGCAGTCTAGCCGCATGCTCATCTAGCCCCTCAGGCAAAAAAACAGTCATTTATAATGTTTGGCATTGTGATGCTGGGCACGACCTATATCATCATAGTGAGATCTGTCCAGGACTACTATCACAATAGACTGCCTTTGAATATACCTGAGTCCGATCGCGTTCTAGCTCCCAAACTATGTGCTGCATGTGTACACTCCGCCTATGGTTAGTCTACTCCAGAACAACGCCTGGAGAGGTTCATTGGGGGCATGATGTCCCCCCACCCCATTCCCCCTGCACCTGAAGTACCGGTATTGCCCCCCCCCCCCCTCCCCAAACAAATTACAGGACACAGATGGAGCACTGGGGAGCACGTAGCAGTAGGCAAAGTTGACGATGCCAGTGCAGACACGGCCTGACCTCGGTCACCACACTGGCACCGTATAGTCTCAAAGGGACATAGCTACCAGAGAACACACAGAATGGGAGTATATAGTGCTATCTCGGTGGATAGACAACCCCCTATACACAAAATATCTACTGATAGAGTTCTGTGTAGACCCTATGTGCACATATGTGTGGATGAGTACTGGTAAACGGACAGCTAACCCTAGTCTAAGTAAAATAAAGGTAGAATGTAGACCCTGGGCAAAAAAATAAGTAAATAAAAATATTGACTAGTTTGAGGGAAAGACACAAACGGGAAAAGTCTGAAGAAAAAATTGACTGTCACCAAAAAAATAATAATAGCTACACACACGAGGGAACTCGGATGGAGAGCCAAGGATTAAAATTGAAAAAGAGGACCATCAGTTTACGAGTTATCCGTTTTGTCCAACACTAACGGATATAAACGTGATGCAGCTAAGCATCAGGTCGTTGAATGTCATGATCTCATCAGTCAGTTTTTGTGCTGATTGTTGCACATTTTTGACTCAGCAGTATTCTGCATATAACCGTTAGTGTTGGACAAAACGGATAACTTGTAAACATGAGGGAACACTTGTAACCTTGGCCTGAGGTTACAATTACATTCACAGGAGCATAAACTCCCCAGCCCCCAGCCAGGCACCAGTTCCAACCATGACAAGACGTTGAGATCAAAACTGCAACTCTCAAGTCCAAAACATTCTCTCCAAGCAAAAGGAAAAACCAGCATCATAACAGAGCGAGCCAGCGAAAAGATACGCATGCGTGTGTGCCTGTGAGTGTGTACAAATGACGTATGCATACATGTCATGAAGTAGAGTCACATTCATAGCTACAATCAAGAGTGGAAATATTACTACGCCAAACGGAACATGTGCAACATGTTACACCTCCCCCCTCGTTACAGAGGGAACGATAGTGACCGAAAGTTACAAAGCTTAGAGCATATCCGTGATAGCTTTCTACATGAGAAAATTAAATACTGGAAAGTGAAATAGTGTGGCGCAAGTATGGTACAAGTGTAGTTAATCGGTGTGAGGTATAATGGAAAGTTTAGAAACTACTAATGCTATGTAAGTGGACTGTGAAACAGCAAGTGAAATGCTCGACATTATTCATACTAACCTAACAACAGGTAGGACTGTGTGAAATATGTGTATTTCTGAACTAAGAATGTACAATTTCTCAATAATCACACTGTACAGTCATAGACACTCACTGAGCAAACCTTGCTGGCGGCTGAATGTTTGCACGGTTCCGCAGATCATAGTGGTGCACAACAGGCACAGGTGCATGATTCAGTGCTGCGGCTGGTGGCGGCACCGGCGCAGCAGCAATTACTGGTGCAGGTGGCGCCTGCACTGGAGCCGGGATTGGTACTGGTTGCATATTATACTCAACATCAGGCATGTAGTCGGCAATAGAAGTCGGAGGCGAGTTCGGTACGAGCTCATTGGCACTTGCAGGCAGATCAGAGCCAGTCCAAGCCTTCAGACGGTCAACGTGAACAGTCTGGGTCGTGCCGGATTTGTCAGCTATCCGAAGTACTACATCGTCAACACGTTCTAGCACAGTGTACGGGCCTTTCCAAGGTCGATGGAACTTGGAAGTCGTACCTGGTTTGACGGCAGGAGAATGCAACCGAACCATGTCACCAACGTTGAGTTTCGGTTGTTTAGCGTGCTTGTCATAGTGGGCCTTCTGCCGTCGTTGAGCTGTTGCTCCAGCATCACGGGCATGCGTGAACGCTCGTTGTAGATTGCGCCGTAAGTTGATAACATACGTGTTCACATGGGAGCGCTCAGAGTCTGGTGACTGAAACATCACATCAACAGGCAGGTGTATTTCATGACCTAACATGAGCATCGCTGGCGTCTCCTTGGTCGAGGAGTGCACACTAGACCGATAGGCCAGCAGACAACGTTGCAGATGACGGTCCCAATTGGTGTGGTGGTCGTCGACGTGAGCAGCCAGCATTTGCTCAAGTGTGCGATTCATCCTCTCGACTAAGCCGTCACTCTGGGGCCGGTATGCTGTTGTACGTGACTTTCTGATATCCAACAACTGACAGATCTGCTGGAATAACCTCGACTCAAATTGCGCACCACGGTCAGAGTGCAGCTGGTATGGAATACCATAACGACAGAAGAAGCCGTCAACAAGGACATGTGCTACTGTTTCAGCAGTAATATTCGGTACAGGAAACGCTTCTGGCCACTTAGTGAAATAGTCACAAATGACGACTAAATACTTGTTACCGCTAGGCGTAGTAGGCAGTGGGCCCATAATATCAATAGCAACTTTCTCTAGCGGGAATGATGGGCGGTCTTGGACAAGCGGGGCTTTGGCCTTTGGTAGCGGTGCTTTGCGGCTCTCACAAATATCACATGCTTGGCAAAATTCACTAACTGCAGACGACATGAAGGGCCAATAACACCGCTTGCGAAGCTTGTCTTGTGTTCGCTCAATACCTAAGTGGCTTCCAGAGACATCAGCATGCACAGACTGAAGCATGCGGGATTGCAGAGACTGTGGTACAACAAATTGTAGGTACGGTGTGTCGCTATTCTCGGGGTGGTAAACCCGGTACAACACTCCATCAACCAGTCTTAGACGCTTCCACTGGCTCCATAATCGTATCAATGCAATAGACGCACCGTGCATGGCAGAATCACTACGCAGGGGCCTGTCAAGTAATGCCTCCTGCCAGCCGATCATTGTACTCACATCTGCATCTTCTAATTGAGCTCTGCGCAACTCTTCAACAGTGAAAGACTCACACCAATTGGGTGGCGACACTTCAGCATTGACTGTTACAGGATTACTATCAGGACTAGCGCTAGACAGGTGATTGACAACAATATTCTGCTCACCTACTCTCTGCTCGGGCGTTGGCGTCGGTGAGGTTGCGGTAGCCGGGCTGTGGTAGCGGAGTCTTGACAAGGCGTCTGCATTGACATGCTGCTTCCCGGGCCGATGTGTGACGACGTAGTCGAAGACGGCCAAACGCTCAATCCACCGGGCTAGAAGACCGTCCACTTCCCGGAACGAATGTAGCCAGATGAGCGCTTTGTGATCAGTTCGCAATGTGAACTGATTTCCAAGTAGGTAATGGCGGAAATGTGCAGTAAATGTGACAACAGCAAGCAGCTCCTTGCGTGTACTGCCCATGTTACGTTGGGATCTCGTTAATGCTTTGCTGGCATAGGCAATCACTACTTCCTCACCGTGACTATTGACTTGCGAGAGAACAGCTCCCATGGCGAGATCTGACGCATCAGTGTCCAGGATGAAGCGCTTTGCAGGATCAGGATATGTTAGAACAGGTGACTTGACTAGTCGGGACTTCAGTTCAGCAAATGCCTGTTCACACTCATGTGTCCAGTTGAAAGTGGCATTCTTCTGGGACAAACGGTTCAGGGGCTCTACAATTTCTGAGAAATGTGGCACAAAGCGGCGATAGTACGATGCGAAACCAACAAAGCTACGCACCTCTTTCAGTGATGTTGGGGATGACCAGTCTTGAACAGCCGTGAACTTGCTTGCATCCGGTGCCACACCTTGCTCTGAGAATAAGAATCCCAGGTACGTGACTGAGGACTGAAGCAGTGAGCACTTCTTGGGCTTGATCTTGAGGCCAGCTTGACGAAGACGACTGAATATTGTTTGCAGACGACTCATGTGTTCCTCAATCGTTGATGAGAACACGATAATGTCGTCCAAGTAGACCAGACAGATATTGGGTACTAGGTCACCAAGGACCCGGTTCATGAGGCGTTGAAAAGTTGCCGGTGCGTTACACAGGCCGAACGGCATACGGTTCCACTCGAATAATCCGAACGGTGTCACAAACGCCGACTTAGCTTTGGCAGCTTCATCTATCTCCACCTGCCAATAGCCAGCTGCGAGATCTAAGGTAGAGAAGTAGCGTGCACCCGCCATAGCGTCGATAGCATCGTCCACACGAGGAAGGGGAAAGGCATCCTTCTCGGTGATACTGTTCAACTGCCGGTAGTCGATGCATAGCCGGATAGAAGAGTCAGGCTTGCGTACGACAACTATCGGAGCAGCCCAAGGGCTTCTGGATGGAGATATAATCTCATGATCAAGCAGTTGATCAACGTGCTGCTTTACCTCGACTCGTTGACTGAGAGGAATTCGGCGGGGTGGCTGTCTCTTAGGCTGATCAGATGTAGTCTGGATGTTGTGTGTTACTACATCAGTCTTCCCAAGGTCGAATTGTCCCTGCGAGATGACATCGGCATTGTCGTTGAGCACAGTAGCTATAGCAGACTGCGCTTGCGGATCGAGGTGACGTAAGTCAAATAGATCGTCTGGCTCGGAAGGTGAGCAGCTCTCTTCCTGTACTGCGCTACAGCTATGCTCGTCAACAGAGGCAGCATGCGTAGGCGAATCATTGAGATCATCGTCAATGTAAATATCAGAATCAAATTCAGCAATTTGATAATTCTTCGGGACAGTTGTGGAATGAGGAAGAAAATTTTGTAGGCGAATCCAAACACGGCCAGCAGAGTCAGGAGTAGCCACCACACGTGACATAGCAGTGCTAAACTTGGAAATAAACTTCTCTGAGGGTGAAACAAAACCAGCAGAGCTAGGTAAATGATTATCATCGGTACGCAGCTGAGCTTGAACAATGACTTGTGTATACGCTGGTACAGTAACCGAATTAGCAAGATGAACACGGCAGACTACAGGATTAGCATTATGGGTGGGCTCTAGGGGTACATCGACACCGCCTGCATCGAGCATGTTGCGACCGAAATCAATTGTGCAGCCATGAGATTGCAAGAAGTCAATGCCGATTAGCACATCGGGCATAATGTCAGCAACAATGACTCTGTGGCGTACAGCAAGCTTGCCAGTTGCTAACAATACGACAGCTTCCCCGAGCACAGGGACAGAAGAATTATTTACCGCTTTAAGAACAGTATTAACGGGTGAGATAGATAAATGAACATTGTGATGAGAGAGAGACTTAGCAAAGCTGGTGCTCAACAACGTTACGCAACTGCCGGTGTCCACAAGCATGTTGGCTGGTACAGCCTCGACCGTGCCTTGGATCTGCACCGTGCTGTCGGACTGTGTTGCAAGACACGACAGAGGCAGGACAATCGAGCTGTCTGGACACTCGGCTGGAGTAATTGTGCAGGCCTGACAAGTTGTCTCAGTAGGTAAGCAGACAGCCTCATGACACACCGAACACGGTTCACTCTGCTTACCGGTACATGGGTCCATTGGGGAGGTTGCTGACGGCGGACCCTGGCTGTCAGCGACGCTCAGTTTCCCCGACCGCGTCCACGACCCCGGTGACCACCACGGTTAGCCGGTGTGTATCTCTGGTGCGGACAGTCAGGTGCGAAATGCATTGTGCTGTCGCACACATAGCACCGCTTGGTGTCACCATCTCCACTCCGATGCAGATTAGTTGGCCTCTCCAGCGTGAGCCTGGAGATCTTGTCCTCCAGGGCTGCCATCCTCGACAGCAGGGCGTTGAGTGTAGGGTCACTGGGCTGAGATTGCACCGCACATATAACTGGGCTAGCTGCCTGCTGCTGCTGGTCTGCCTCCAGGATGCACTGAAAATGCATAGCCCGTCGGAGTGCATCATCCAATGTTGGTGGGTCCGTGCCACGAACATGCAGGCGCAGGTCCCTGCTGTCAAGGCCGGCTACAAAGGTGTCGCGCGCCAGGGTATCCTGCACTGCTCCAGCTACCGTGGGGTACGCCCGTCTACTGAGCCTGCGGACGACTTCCGCAAAATCCGACAGGGACTCGCCACGAATTTGCCGGCGTGACTGCAGCTCTGCTCTGAACGTGGGGATGAAGTTTGCGTCGCCGAATCGCTGTTCAAACGCCTGCAGCAGCTGGTCGAATGGGCCTGTCCTCGTATGGGCTTCCAAACTTTGGAAGTAAGACAGTGCGTGGCCGGTGAGGTACAACCCAATGTACCTGCCTTGGTCTGCCGGTGTCCAGTTGTTTGCATTCGCGACGAGGCGAAAATGGCCAATCCATGATGTCCAGTCGGCGTTGCGCTCGCCAGAGAATTTCTCTGGCGTGGCCCATGCCCGCATCTGCTGTTGTTGACGTGCTGGTTGTTGCGCTGGGCCCGGTGGTGGTGGTGGAGGGGGCGGAGGAGCGCCACCTTGCTGAGCCATCTCTACACGATCAATCTTCCACAAATAATTTGGTACGCGTGCTCTCACAAGACGTGGAATTCGAATTCGCTGCCACCACGTGTAACCTTGGCCTGAGGTTACAATTACATTCACAGGAGCATAAACTCCCCAGCCCCCAGCCAGGCACCAGTTCCAACCATGACAAGACGTTGAGATCAAAACTGCAACTCTCAAGTCCAAAACATTCTCTCCAAGCAAAAGGAAAAACCAGCATCATAACAGAGCGAGCCAGCGAAAAGATACGCATGCGTGTGTGCCTGTGAGTGTGTACAAATGACGTATGCATACATGTCATGAAGTAGAGTCACATTCATAGCTACAATCAAGAGTGGAAATATTACTACGCCAAACGGAACATGTGCAACATGTTACACACTCATCCTTACCCAAGTCCCAACGTCAGCACTCGGCGCTGCTCCGAACCAAGAGGGGACACTGGAGAGATCGTCCATCAGCTCCTCTCTTGTCCTGCGATCAAATCGCCTAATGCTAAAACACAAGAAGATAGGAAAGGCAAGTAGAATAAATAAATCAATAAAATAATAGACAACAAAACAAGTTTGAACAGCTGCAAACGTAATGGACGATCCGAACAAGACCAATGATATACCTAGCAATAATTGTGCAGAGTGTGCAGCCCAAGGATAATCATCCCACGGCAAAGTTTATTGTTTAGGGCATAGACTCACAGTAACAGGCTCACCTTTGCTGCATCTCACACCGCTTCACACGGTAATCTACTGTATCACCATGGTAATTTCTGTTGCACATTGCTGCTTGTTTAACAAAAGGCAGAAAACACACCGAATTTCCAGGAATTACCATGGTGATACGGTACTTCATAATGACCCAGAGAGAAACTAAACCGGTATCGAATTCCTGTCAGCGACGCAATTCTTCTGAGGTGTAAAGTGACTTCAGGAATATGTTGCAGAAAACTGCGATGCATGCTGATTATCTACTGTGCCCTATTGTGCACAATATACCAGGTGTGTTACTCAGGGATGAAGTAGATGCACACACGTGCCGTGCATCACGGCACAGGTTAGGTTTGCTACTAGCTGCTTTAGTGTACTTGTGGTCCGAACTTGCACTCTACTCAACTCTGCATACGCAAAGAGTGCTGGTGCCGAAATGAACCAGAAGGGTGCTGAGTGGGACGCAACAACACTGACTCTGTATACCCATGTCCACAGATATGATAGGGTATGCAGTACCTGCTCTAAGATTTAACACAAACTGGGTACACGTCTAACTGGCACAACTCCTGCAACACTGGGCCAGAGCCAGATGCGTTCAAGTGCGGCTACTGTGTGTCAGGGAGTCGTAAACTTACTTTCGACTTCCTGATGTACATAATTGTACATGTACATGTATGAACGTACTCGCACTGGGCACTCTGGCCGCACGTATCTGCAAGCGTATGCAGCCTGTCAGTGGCGGTATACCCTCGAAGTATAAAAAATTATAGTACTCGACAGGACTTCCGACCGGGTCGCAGGTAACCCAGTGTTATTTTTCCAAAAGGTCCAAGTACTCACAAACAGGGTCACTGACCCGGCTCTGGAGCAGACACTGGTAATCTAGGTCCAAGTTTGCTCGATTTTGTTCTGACGCTTCATGTGCTTTCATAGCCAAGGTTTCTCACTTTCTTCGCAAGCTCTTTTAGTCTTGAGAGTTGACAACTGCTTATGGTTGTGTTGGCAGAAAACATGTCAGCTAATCTGACAACCGTCCAACCCCATTTTACTGGTAAGTAGTCAGCGAGTGGCTTTGATGGGGCCATACTAGAGGGGAAGTTACGCGGCATATTTGTGCTTCCTTTTTGAAAACACGCTCTCGCTCGAAGGGTTTCTAAACTTTATCCCTGCTCTCATTGATGGAGTTGCCAGCGGCACTCTACACTCGGAAGAACAATGTTGTCTAGTTTTTTATGAAAAATTGTCAAACATTTTCAAATTGCTATAAGTTTGGTTAGGGCCGGGTTCCACTGCGGCTCCGCAGCTCCGCTGCTCCACGGTACTTGGCTGCATGCAGCAGAGCGGCGCGGTTCCAGTGACACTCGCCATTCACGGTACCGAGATCGTGCTCGACGTTTTTGATGACATTTAGCCTGCCTGCGGCGCGTGAAATCCAAAAAAATCCTCGTGTTCTGGCCTGTGCAACGAACTAAAATTCCCCCGAATAAAACAATCAAGTGCGGGAAACAATGCAAGCCGTGACCGCGGCTTGCATTTTTTTGTATCAAGCAGCGAAGCGAAAGCTGGTGATGAGCCGCGGCCTCGCTGGACCAGCTCGTAATGATGACGCTTCATGCCGTGGATGATGTGCGGCGGAGCGGCAGTGGAACCCAGCCCTTAGGCAAAGGAAATTTGTCATTAATTTGTTCATGCTGCATAGATGGAGAGCTGCACACTCTGGCTTATGGACTCTCGCCTACAGTGTAGTCGTACTGCTAGTGTACTGGCATTACAGAACTTCAGAAGACACGAAAAACGAGAACATAATTATGGCGAGAAAGTAATTACTGGCTAAGAATTGCCCTAGGACTTACCGCTTCTCAGTGCTCCATACCAGGAAGTAGTACAATACCTACTCCCTGCTCCATACGAGTGTTTTCTCCTCATTCTCTGCATCCTTTACCCCAGGAGTCTCGTCCATTTAGCGGCTCAAATGCTTGAGCTCCGGATAGCGGAAAATAGCTCGTCGTCCATTAGCGGCTCTAATAGTACCTGGTCTGAAGTGTCGCAGTCTAGCAACTATGATTTTTGACAGGAGGGTAAGGGTTGCAAACCCAAAGAGACCCTAAGCTTCGTCTATCAAACAAAACAATAAGAATGGCCCTAAAAAATGGAAGAGGAAAAGAGTGAGCGAGCTGGTGTGAGCGCGCTACTTTTCAAAAAATAGAAGCTGAAAGCCATCAAAGTCAAAGCATTCTGGCTAGCGCGTTTGTGTATGTCAAGAGCGCTAGCGCGCTAGTCGCAGCAAACGCTCGCAGCCCAGAGTTAGCGCTATTTGGGCTGTTTGCCGCACGCGGCAGCTGGATGGATCACGTGATCCAAGCTGACAAATAAGGTCCGATGGTTCAGCTACATTGAGCCACAAGCCCTACGCTATACGGTGTAACTACCAAAATTTAATTATTATTTATACGAGTACATGTAGGTCTACAACCAAGAATCAAGATACAAGAGTCCATGGGGCATGACCCCAGGGACCGGTCGACCATGGACATTTTTACTTCGTAGATTCTAGCTGGTATGCAAGGTGAAATAGTTTCCATCAGGGAGTCGTAAAATACAACTTCACCCCCATCAAATAATAGTTGTGTGTGGTTTAGTTAGACTTTAGAAGTGGATGACTGCCTCAGTGTCAGTGACTGCGAGTAGATTGCACCTAGACCTGTACAGTGACTGACTGTATTAGATAACCAGACCATGGAATGTCTTTTGTGTACATCTAATCAGGCGTTGCTCACGATTCGATGCTCAGCAGCGCTCCCTGACAGTGACAAGGAAGGGCCACAGCATCCGGGCCGACAGACAACTGACAGCAGCTAGCCTCCTGCTCCTGCTGTGTTCCTCTCTCAACCAAGTCACGGTGTATAATCGTGTTGTAAGTACAGTGGAGATTTGTGCTTGTGCACTGAGCTGAGGCTGCCATAATCAGATGACGAGGGGATCCATAATTTTTATGTAACAGGTTTGGCGAAAATTCGGATGAGGCACAGAAAATTGCAAACCAGCCGGAAATCACTTCCAACACACATCAGCTATGCATAAAGGAAATGATACTTGCAGCATAGCAACGGTCATATGTGGGCCATGATGGGAGCCGGAGGTACCGGTATGAAGATGGCCGCAAACTTTTTGTGGGACAGCTTGTCCCATATTTGGCAGGTACAACCAGCTCAAGTACACATTTTGCCCGTAAAAGAGGCCTGTTCACAGCTAGTTGTTTTAAAGTGTTATGCAGCAGGAGTACATAATCATAATAATGGGACGTATCAAGAGTACATAACCCCCCAGAGTGTGCAACGCCGATCCAGCTCTGCATAGGGTCTTGGTCGAGCGGAATCGGATCTTCTGATGTCATGCGTACACTCCACACCAGCGCAAGGCCGGTCTCGAGGCAGGGCACCATTGCTTTTGATCCAAGAGTACCCGCGACTCCCCGGGTTCCCCTCAGATGTGTACGGTATTATGACGCAAAGATCTGATTCCGCTCGACCAAGACCCTATGCAGAGCTGGATCGGGCGTTGCACACTCTGGGGGGTTATGTACTCTTGGACGTATTCATCCATTTCCCGCCGTTAGGTTTTGCGGGGCAAGTCCACTACAACCGTACACACTGTAATACCAACTCTGCATAAAAGGTCATGAACTTTGTGAGGTCATACTCATAAATGTACTACAGTAGAGTCGCGCGCCCAAGAACGTTGTTTCCAAGGGGTTAGCCAGGGACGTTCTTATTTTTCTGCAATCTGGCTGCGTTCTTTTAACACGTTCTTAGAAACAATGCGTACTGAATCATATGTATCCCACAAGCTCCCAGAAAAACAACACCGCCGTTCTTAACTTTAGGCTGTGGCATTCTTAGTATTTCAGGCTGGACGTTCTTGGGCTCCACGTTCTTCAGCGCGCGACTCTACTGTAGAATGGGTTGTTCCTGCCAAAAATGGGGCAACTTGCCCCGCAAAAAAGGTGACGGCCATCTTCGATGCATACCTCCCATTGGTTACGTGTACTCTTGATGGCGGGAAAGAGTGTGACTAAAAAGTTCCCCGGGGCCCCGCATACGAGTACAATAAGCGCATCACTACGCTACAAGATTTTGCAAGAGTTGTTTACAGTCATGCAAGTACGCCTGCCTAGCGCCTGCAAGGCATCAAGGCGGATTATGGGAGGTACCCCCTAGAAGGTCCTGATAAGAGAGGTCCTGCTGTGTATTCTTCTCTCTGTCAAGAAGAGGACTTGAGCAGTGATAAGATTGATGGCAATGCAGCTCTTACAGTGTCAACCCAGCTATGGTTTGATTGGAACCTGTCATCTCTGTTTTGATGCATAGCTCAGCTAAAGATGACAGCCTCAGTGTGACGGTGTGGAGTTGCTGTCAGTGTCTGGTGTCCCGCCTACATTCTATGCCTGGGTGGCTGTTCATGCTCTTAGATAGGGTTTGCCCTTTGCATCGCACGCCTGGACCGTATTGCGTCAGTACAAGACCACACATTGACAGAACGCACGCTGCCAGCGAATGAAATGACGCAGGCATATGACCAGGCTTGCGCTGGATAAGGCATTCAAAAGTCTCTCTATCAGTGAAGGTGCTAACTTGACTGATCCATTGCTGTTTTCTCGCTCGTACAGTGAGAAATAGCTACAGAGCCACCACCATTTGAAATTTTGAATTCCGGTGCCGTTTTCACCGGGCCTGAAACGACAGTCGACTCCATTCATACACCAAATTCACACTGTGTAGCAAATTTCGAGATTTATAGCGAACCGTTCTCCATGTTCCTTTTTGAACCAGTACAAAACTGACCCTTTGCAGCGAACTGTTTTCGTTTACAATGAGCTCATAATAATTATTACCTTGAGGAGGAGCCTGTAAACTTCAGAAAATCAGCTCAATCACAGTCATGGCATTCTCTTTTTCTAGAGAACTGCTACTTTCACTCTTCCTGTCCATGTGCATATAATTATGTGCATCTGCATAGGGATGTGTCCCGACACAGGCAAAGATATGGTTCAGTCTGGGCTGCGGTGGGATCAGGTTTGCGGACGCACGTGTACCACCTGAACCAGGGTCAGCGGCGCAGCAATCACTTTGTCCACATCCAGACTTTTTGGTGGAGTTTTCGGGGGCCTCTCCCAACCCTCACTCAGTTTTATGTGGAATCAGCTGCAATTCCATTACCACAGCCATGCTGTATTTTACTGGCAGTCATAGCAGAAGCCACGGAAATACGATTGCCTTCTTGACTAGAATCCGTATCACAATTACATGTACATGTACTGTTACTGCATGATAGACACGTGGGCCTCAGGAACATATGCTCAGGTTGTACGCAGGATCAGTGGGAAGGGGTGAGGGTCGCAATCATGCTATTCTGATCAGAATGATTTGTCCTTGTGCGTGTGATGGACTGTTGTCGCAAATATGCATTGTGGTGTTGGTGATGGTTGGGGGGGGGGGGGGGGGGAGCATAAATGTTACCAACTAGAAACCCAGAAGTGCTAGCCTACAAGGGGTCTTCATCAGACAGTACATCATCCGACGTGATGAGGGAGACTGTGGTGCTTGCGGAGCAAGTCTGTGCAGTGGAAGGTGTTTTGGCAATCTTGGTAGGAAGAGGTAGAGCAGGAGTTGCGGATATGTTGTGTACATGTACTTGAATCACCCTATGCCTGTAGGGCCAGGAGATGCCCTTGGCTTTGGTGGTGTGCTAGCAGCAGCATCGGTACATGTAGTAGCAAGAGTCCAAAACCACAGGGTTATGGTCCTAACTTATGGACTCTCTTGGTAGTAGCATTAGTAGTAGGCCGGGTGACGACTCTGCAGGTTTGTTGGCAGCTTGACGCTCTCGTAAACAAGCTGGGGTTAGCAGTGGTGCTGACGAAATGGAGAGGAGATGGATGGTTGAGTTGTGGGCAGAAGGTGATACAGACGGGTCCGGCTAGCTATAGTGGTGTTCTGAGGACGGCCTGGGTGTTGCCATTGTGCGGTTGAGTCGATTGAGCAGGGACAAGTAGAATCTGGCTGTGTGGAGATACAGAATGATGTCGGAGATTGGATGTGAGTAAGAGTGGGAGTAAATCATTCATGGATGGAATGAAACGGGTGCTGGTGGGTCTGGTTTGAGCGATAGTGGTGTGCATGGAACTTGTGCTAGATATGGAAGACGTCCGTTGTGATAATTATATGGTGGTAAGACGTTGCATGCATGGCATAGTGGGAAGTGAGCTTGTAAACGTTTTACACACTCTGGAACACATTACTGTTGTGTTCACTAAGGATTGCTCTGGGATGCTGATGAGGGCCTTGAAATGGTATTTTGGGTGGTGCGGTCAACAATCGGACATGCCCTCCCTGAAATTTTGTACTCATATACAATGTACGAAGTAGTGGAAGCGACCGCGACGATAAATTTACATTGCTCCCCACACCAGAGGTCGCGCTTTTCTCGGTAGGCACTGTCTTCCTCAGCCCACTCAAGCTCAACTGATGAGAGGTGAATTCCCCGAAACACTGTGTATAGAGCAGGGAGTGGTGCTATCTTGCAGGTTTGCCGAGCCGAAGGTTCCTTGGACTTCTCGTGTGCTCTGGATGCTAGTCGCGAGACAGTCAAGTGTCAGGTCAGGCCGGCCGGGAAAACACAAGCTCTGGTGAGGGGAGCAACCTACTTTCCAGTGTCTGCTCCAGAGCCGAGTCAGCGACCTGGTTGGGTAGTACTTGGACCCGTTTGGAAAAGAACACCGGGTCACTCGTGACCCGGTTGGTCGTCATGCTGTTTTAAAAATACTTCAAATCAGGGGGGGGGGGGTGAGAGGCTGCAACTACGATGTAGTGCAGGCGCGCACGGCAGACCACCCAGCACGTTCATACCAGGGAGTAGTAAAATACCGGTATTTTACTACTCCCTGGTTCCTACATGTACTCATACGACCATGTAGATCTACATGTACATCAGGTAGTCGCAACATATTTACGACTCCCTGATCTACGGTAGCCGCACTTGAACATACCCGGCTCTGTCCCGGTTGCAAGAGTTGTGCCAGGTACACGTGTACCCGGATGATTTGAAATCCTAGAGCAGACACTGCTTCCATTTATATACAATGTAGATAAAACAATTGAACTTCAGGTTAGCTGTGGCAAAAATAGTACCATACAGTCAACACGGTGGTGACCGTACGAGTGCATTGTAGCATGTAGCGTGTCTGACTCCCCTGGCTGAAGTCCATCATTTGACACCCCCTCTCCCCCCCCCCCCCCCCCCCCCCAACACACACACACACACACACACACACACACAACACATGACCCAATTGATCAAGTGAATCACGTAGAAAACCGGATCCCAACTGTTTTTCAACTACTCGAAGTTCTTTTAGAAAGCTAACGTATTTCACCGGATACAAGTCAACCTTTTTAATACACCGTATGACCTAAAAACCAAACCAAAAAAGGGTAGTCGACTTACAACCGGGGCCGGGGCTAACTGCCGGGAAATCGAGGCCCCAAGAGGTTATGCGATACACGTCATATACATGTAGTACGTTTGCCACCCCAAATTCTTCTGTATAACTATAAGGGGTTTCTGTACCCGCTTTCGGCATTTTGCCACCCCAACTGGCTCCTATTTATTTATTACAGCATCTCATAGCACAGTGAGAACACCGGCCAATACAAAGAGAGAGGGTGTTAGCCAACCACGGCAAGGAAGGGAGAAGGGGAGGAGAAGAAAAAGGAACCGGCATGGATAAGCAGTGATTGCAACAAAATGAGAAACACAAAATCAAAGTCAAGGCGCGACAAGGCTCTTAAAAAGGCGGAGGGAAGAAAGGTCCTTAGCTTCTTGGGGAAGTGCCAGCCACGCAGAGTACGCAGTGAAAAGGGAGAGTGAAGTAGAAAGGAGGACTTAGGTTTCGGATGGGAAAGGGAGTTTCTTGCGCTACGGGAAGAGAACCAGTTGAAACAGTGGAGGTGAGGTGGACACAGATTGAGTTTGAAAGAATGGATAAGGGTGACAAGATGTGAATTACGTCTCTTAGACAAAGGGGTAGTGTCAGCAAGGGCATAAAGGGTGGAAGATGGAAGCATGCGGAGTTTTCGGAGGAGGATTTTGAGAACTTTTTAGTGGTGAATTTCGAGCTTGGCAGCACGGGTTGTGGAAATTCCAGCCCAAGCAGTATCTGCATAATCAAAAATGGGGCGTAGGTAAGCTGAGTAAAAGAAGAGTTTACAAGAGATTGGGAGATGGTAACAGTGAGAAGAGAGAATTCTTAAAGATGAACTTGATCGTTTACATATGTAATCGATGTGGGGTTCCCATGAAAGATTAGAGTCAATGAAAATGCCAAGATGCTTATGGCTGGAGACTATGTCTATAGGCTGGGGGAAAGTGGGATGGAGGAGGGGCGGAACATCGGGCTGAGAAGGAAAGAGCATGATTTTAGTTTTAGACAGATTGGGCGATAACCGCCAAGACGACATCCAGGAAATTACTCTTTGAATCCCGTTAGCTAGGTTACTCATCAGGCCAGTGATGTTAGGAGATGCCCGTAGGAGCGTTGTGTCGTCTGCGAACAGTGATGTCGCGGCCCGGGGCAGCTGCGGGCAGATCATGGACGTATAAAATAAAAAGAAGGGGCCGAGGATAGAACCCTGGGGAACTCCGGATAGTACTGTTGTGTCGGCCGAGGACGTCCCATGTACCGTGACGTACTGCGTTCGCCCAGTTAGGTAAGATGTCAGCCATAGCAGGGGATTGCCGTCTACAGTAAATGATCCACGAAGCTTGGCCAAAAGCCCCCGGTGCCAGACGGTATCGAAGGCCTTGGCAAGATCGAAAAAACAGATCCCGACTAGATCTCCAGCATCCCGATGTCGACACACTAATTGCACCAGGCGCGTCAGCTGGAGGGTGGTAGAATCGCCTCTGCGAAATCCGGACTGAGCTGAACTCAAACGTGACGAGACATGACAGTACAATTGGTCGTAGAAAACGCGCTCACAGAGTTTGGAAACACAGGACAGTAGAGATATCGGACGGTAGTTGATGCTTCATGGCGGGACCCTTTCTTGTAGATCGGTATAACATTAGCTGTTTTCCATGCAGAGGGAAAACGACCAGTGCGGAATGATAGGTTGAAAATCAGACATAAGGGGTATGCTATTGAGGGCGCAAGGGACTTTAATGCCAGATTAGTGATGCCGTCTGGGCCCGGCGCCTTGTCAGATGGGAGCTTTCGAATGTAACGTCGGATGGCAGCAGTCGTAGTAAAGACAGATGTGAGGCGGATATATGGCGGATTTGACGTTATCGCATAACCTCTGGGGGATTGAGTTATTAGGGAGGTTTCGCTCTACGTAATTATGTATGAAAATCCATATGTCGTACGCGCCGGGGAGCGAGGGCAACTTTCATACGTAAATCTCTCTACGGATTTCCGTAGGAAAGCTGTTTCCTACGTTGGGTCCTCCGTAGGACTTTTTGAAACATTTTTTTGCATTTTCCGCATTTGTCCATGGCAACGTTCAAGCCGCGCGAAACACAAGGTACACACACCGTACACCACATGCAAAATAAAAAGGGAAACGCGGTTTCGGTTCATGGTGCATGCGGCAGGCGCATGCAGCCAACGCGTCTCCAAAGCAACAGCGCATGTTTAGCATGCAGTCGTGGAGAAATCATGTAGAACGAAACCCAACAGCTCTGATTTTTACGTATGAGAATTCCGTGCAGTTCCTACGTTATTTTCATACGTAATTCCGTAGAGCGAAACCTCCCTATTACCGGGGTCGACTTACAACTGGTAAAATACCGCACTACGTTTACAGAATTACTTTGCATTTCCATAAAATTTATAAAAGGGTTCATCTTCCACTTCAAGGAAAGCAGTTAGGGGAAGTGAACTGCCTGGAAGGCCTCAGAAAAAAATGCCAGACCCA